AGTCTGACCTGCGGTCAATCGAACGCATCTATACAACGCTTATGCAAATGGAAGACAACGACCGAAACATGCCGCCACCTCCTACAAATGATGCCGATACTGAGGCTATCCAGAAATTTGTTACCTGGAATAGTGAAGCGCAAATTCTCAACAGCAAGCTCTGGGACTGCCTCCGGATCCATGATCATCCGGACAACGGTCGTGTTCATCCCTTCATTGCTCTCCTTTCATACACCAAGGGCATGAAGGCAATGCAACGTATTTCCCGCCACCTTACCCATGAGCAGCGCACGACGATCCTCACGCTTATCCTCGTGAACCTTGACAACCTCGAGGTTGTGCGCAATGCTCAGGTGACGCCTGAGGCGATGCAGTTGAACGCTGCCATGCGTGAGAACGTGGAGCTCTTCTCCGTTTCCGTCATGTCGACCCTGTTCACCATCTTGAACGAACTCGACGTGGACCTTGTTGCCGGCATGCTCGGCCTTGTCTGCACCCGCAACGTCGATGTGATTTCCAAGAGCAGAATTGGCGCTTCCATGCTCACTATGATCTTGAGCCGCGCCGAGATTATCAAGCACGGTGGAGGTGGTAATGAACAGGCCTGGCGGTCGTGGTACGTGACCTCTTCTTTTTGTTATCTTCCGCCTGCTAATCATTCCCAGGGATGCTACTCACACGCAATTCTTCGACCTAATCGAACCCTCACTTCCTCACACTTTCCCCGGTCCCGTTACCGCGGGCGACGACATCTACGTCTGGCAGCTCCTAGCCGCGCTCGGAATTGGCGCCAGCCCTGACCAGCAACAGAGGCTGGTCTTGGCTGTCAAGGACCGTGTGATGGATACCGTCGCGCTTTCCAACACACTTCCTCAGGACTTGGCCGCCCAGCGTCTCCAAAACGTCAACCTCTTCATGCGCTCAATCGGCCTGGATGTTGAGCTGCTTCAGTAATTATTTTGCACACAGCACGCAAACATAGCGATAAGACCGTAGATGAAATGAGCATCTACACCTAAAGTTTATCCAATTATGGGTGGCTGGCAATGACGCTAACGAGGAGGGATGACTGTCGAACGGGTAAAATAGTTGATTCAAGATCTCATCAGAGTCGAATTGGGGTCTGAGAAGTTGATGTATGGCGTTACTGTCGAACCCACGAAGTGGGCGAATCCGGGGGAAAAGCAACATATTGATCTTGTACGCGGATATCTGCACATGGGTGAGGGGGGACATTGAATCGGAGCATTTTCCTTGTTTACATCTCATACTGCAGTAATTATACTTTTTACACCCGCATCCATTGTGCAACATGTATGCTACAGTTAAAACTCGTAGCAATGCCGGCTTCTGACAATAGCTCGCTCACTAGTCATACACATCTTCTAGAGTATCGCCATTAGTCTATCTCCATTGCATTACCCTTCGTCGCCCCTCTCCTAGTACTCCTCCTCGCGGAGGCACCAGCATCGCTAGAGGTGCCCGCTGCACCCTTACCAGCCCGGCCAGCCTGTTTCAGCCCCTCAGTTTGCTGCTCCTCCATTTTCACCGCCACCTGCTTCCCCTTACCTACCTCCTTCGGATCTCCCTTCTCATTCTCCCCGACGGCTCCCCCCATCCCACTCACCCCCCGTAGCAGCTCCTGCTCCCCCCAATCCGTCTTCAACCACGACACCTTCTCCACCAAATCCGCCGCGCCACTCTCATCAACCACACCACCCCCAGCCTCAACCCCAGCAACCCCTTTCCCCTTCCCCTCCTCATCAACCCCCTCCTTCACACCACCACCCCCCGCGCCCCCCGACCGCAACAGCAAGCACTCGTTGTACGCCTCCCACGCCAGCTCGGCCTCGTCATGCACCCACTCCATGCGCCGCCACGCCTCCGTCTGCACGTTGCGCAGCCGGTCCGCCATCGTCTCCCGTCGCCACCCCGCCGTCCGCGTCCATCGCCGACTTGATCGTCATGTGGATCGCCCGCCCCCCGCCGCCGCCCCTCGCCCCTGCTGCGGCGCCGGGTTTGTCGCCGCCACCGGGGTGGTTGGTTTCATCCCCCTCCCGCTGGCGGGGCCCGCGGCAGAAGACGTTCCTTGTTTCTTTAGAGGCGTGGAGGTTGGTGGGGGTCGGGGACGGGGCTTTACGACTTAGTATACGGGGAGGGAGTGTAGGTTCTCTGTTTGGGAGGGGGGGTGGGTGGTTAGTGGGGGGGTTGTGAATCCGCTGGGGGGAGGGGCGTGAAGTCAATGCTTACTCCCTTGAAAAGACACCGATCATGTGGCGGGTGTTTTCTTCCTCGGCGCTGCGGACGCCGCCGTAGGTCTGGTTGCGCAGCACCTTGTCCTGCCGCGCTGCTTCGGCCCAGGTGGTCGGGAGGGGTTCGTCGTCGGCGCCCGCACCGCCTCGGCGGCCCCTCGCGCCGGTGGCGGTCGCAACCATGTTGAAACCGCCGGCGAGACCCAGGCTACCGCCCTTCTTGGTCTCTATGGATTTTTGCAAGGCGGTGCCCCACACCATGCCCTTGGCCCGGTCGTAGGCCTCGGTCGTGTCGATGGGCACGTCGACCTCGTACATGCCGGTGTCGGGCTTTGTTCGCAGCTCGCTGATTCGTGGTACGCGGATCTGGGCAGGGTCTTGGGCAGTTTTTGTTACGTATTGGAGGACGACGAGATTGCGGTGCTCGGGGAGGGTCGGCTTGATGAAAACGGAGTAGCTCGCAACGACAGGATCGTCATCGTCCGCGGCGGATGCGCCTGGAGGCAGGTGGGTTGACGACATTGGGTGAGCTACCGATCTAAGGTATGTGTCTAAAGATCGTGGCAGTAATTAAAACTAGATTGGGGGGGTTGGCATAGAAAACGTTCAGGTTATGTGATAACTTCTGCAGGAGGTCGTTACAGGAAGCTCGGTGTGCCCCGCGGCATTGGAAATTTTAGTGGGGCAGCCATGCTGAGTGTATCGCACAAGTACGCCTCCACCGACTCCACTCCGGCAACCCACGATCCGCTAAAAAAGTGTGCGGCTCCACGAGGTTATTCCTCGCAAAGCTTGGGCAGCCGATGATGATCCGATCCAGGCTCGAACTGGAGACCTTCAGTGTGTTAGACTGACGTGATAACCAACTACACCATCGGACCTTGTTGTGATAATCTCAGAGCCAGCTTTCCAAGACATTCCTCCGCAGTCGAACGCCGTCAGACTCGCCCAAGCAACTCTGCTGTCCTAATTTCCATTTCGCTATCGAGACAACTGGCGTACAAGGCACCAACTGGATTTTGCGGCGGCAATCGAAACCACGGCAATCCGTTCGATCATCTTTAAAAGCTGTGCAACTGTAACCGGTGGCCTCACAACGACAACAGCAGGGACAGGAGCACGGGCATCAAATTCTGCATAAAAACACCAAATGATAGTGCAAGCACAGGCCTTAACTCAGCCTTCTGTTCGGATGTAGGAGACCAGGAGAAAGATGAAGTGCCAAAGACCGTTTCTAGCTCCCATCTTCAGACTTCTCGCAAACCCGACACAAGTCCACGTACGAACCGTGATCGTCTCGGATCTTCCGTCAATCTCTGCATCGCATCCCGCCGACACGGCTCCGGAAAGAATCGGCGGGCCTCGATCAAGGTTGTCGAGTGCTGTCGAAGGAATCGAATGCTCGAAGGATGTTCGAGGCATGGTGTTGGAAAGGATGAGTAATCAGACTGCCTCAGGCCACCTTGGTAAGCCCCAGGCACCAGACCCGAATTGGGGACAGAGAAAAGGCGGCTTCCGAATCTGCGAGAATCATCAATCAAGAAATCAGTTGAACCCATTCAATTTCGACCCCAATGAACCCCGTGTCCTGCGCTGTGCCAATATTCGTTAAACCCGTATAACGTCCAACACATGGTCACGTTGCCTTGGCTTGCCTGGGAAAATTCCCCCCACCGGTGACAGGCATTTGTGACGAGATGCCTGTCAGTCAGGCTTGGCTTCAAGCATTCCAGCCACTCGGGGAACCAAGATGCCAGGTCGCCCGCGCAAATAAGTGGTTTGAGAATCGCGGGGCGCAAGAATGTGTCACTCACCATTCGATTCCGGCCGTGCACTCAGCAGAATACTAGCCACTTGTAGATAATTATCGACAAATGCGAGTCACCATTGACGGACGAATTCTTGGTCTCGAGATTCGACGCAGTGCCCCTCACGGACAAAACTCCGACAATGGTGGCATGGTCCGCCTCCCTATTCGTACTCCACGACTTCCAAACAAAGAAGGCCTGGGGGTTGACACCCCTTGACACCCCTTGACACCCTTGACATCCCATTACGCGATCCCGCGGCTGTGGAGCAATGTGTTGGTGCCCGGATGCGAAATCCGGCCGCCACGCACAGCGCAATCACCACTGATCGGCCCGGAACTTTCGGGGCCCTGCCGCGTCCATGCCAAAGTCGTAACCCGTTGGCTGCCGCCAGGAGCGGTCAAGTTTCTCTCGTCTTCCCCCCCGCGTGGAGTTATTTGGAAAACCTCATGTCAAAACGACCACCATAAGCAACTTGTGAACTTCCATGACGGCAAATAGTTAGTTCCCGGTTACGAAGTAGCCTTCGACTCATTAGGTTCCCGGCCGACGTAATACCGGCCAACCGCGGCATTCAGGGGCGGAGGAACAAGAAAGGTGCCCGGGTTCTGAGCCCACAACGCCGATGCTCCACCAGACTTGATGGGTTCGGGAACGCCAGAAGGGCCCGGAGGCCACTCCGGCGCTTCCATGGCCGACTTAGACCATAACGACCTCGGCCCCAACATCATCGCAGCAAACTTTGTGAGTTGGGCTATCGCCCTCGTCTTCGTTCTGCTCAGGTTTTGGACTCGCGCAAGGATCGTGCGTGCTCTCGGCGCGGCGGACTGGTTCATCGCCGCCTCACTCGTAGGCACCCCTTGGTTCCGAACCTAGTGGGCTTGCGGTTCCTAACGACGTGTGAACAGATAGCGGCGTTGGGCATGTGTATCAGTAACGCTGAACGTTGGTCTCCCCTTGCCAAACACGACATGATTCGATCCGAGGAAGTCTAAATACTCACATGCAAATTATAGAAGTCAAATATGGAAAGGGCAAACACGTTTGGGACATCAACAAGAACGATAACACCGCGAGAGGAGAGGTATTCGGACGCCGACGCCCGCAAGCAGTGAAACGAAATTTCTGACAACCCATATAGGCGTGGTGGTTCTCGCTCCTGTTTTACGTCCTCAGCCTAGGTCTGACCAAGGTCTCCATCTGCCTCCTCTTCCTCATCATCTTCACCTTAGAGTGGGCACGGCGAGCCTGCTATGTCGTCTTGGGTATCGTCGCCATAACACAGTCTTTGGGATGTTGCGATCACGTTGACCTAATGCATTCCCCTAGAAGCATCTTGGGACAATAACGTCCAAGCTTC